GTTTTTATTTATTTTATGGTTTGATTCACTTTTTAGTTCACTCATAGTGATTTAAAAAAAATGATTTAAAAAAGAATTGATTCTTTTACAATCTTTGTTCGATTCATTTAAATGAACGCGGGCCACACTGAAAGAAATTTGTTGCTAAAAGTAAATACAAATTTATACTAAAAATTTTATACTAGTGCTTTACACATTTATACTACTGTTTATTATGAATGTATGGTAAATTTTGTAATACATTTATTGTAAAGAAGATATGTTAGATCTAAATAAAAATAAACTTACCCTTACTATAAAATGTAAACTATAAGTGAATTACAGCAAAAAAATATTGCTAGAAACACCATTTATATTGCTAGGGCAGCAATAGGCTGCTAACCAAACGAATATATTTGTTTTAGCAATGTATGTGGTAGTCTATATATGAAACATAAAATATATTTGCCCTAATTATTTTTTTATTTAACTTTAGTATATATTTCTTTCAGTGCATAAGCGGAACGACTGGGGGCAAGCTGAACCGCCGAGCGAAGGCCGACTGTTTGCCGAGTGTTTGGTGCTTACTGGGTAAATAGTTAACCCAGGATTTCCCCTTCCCAACAACATTACAAATCGTTTCTCATTTTTTTCCTCAATATTTATAATATTTTCCGGCCTTCCCAAAAACACTTATTTGTAACATACGCGTTTGACAGCTGATGATTAAAAATTGTAGTTTGGTTACGAGGATAACGGCCACATGGTGGCGTTAATAGAGATACTTCTTTATCTTATTCTACCTAAATTAAATAATTTTTATTCAAAAAAAAAAACAATTACTTAATTTAATTTTTATTGTTATGAATAAAACTTTTTTGAGGGAGTAAATAAATTCAAAAAAGTTTTGACATACATGTTTAGCATTTACTGGTATTGCATAAAGGAAAAAGTCTATGGAAGTAATTCATAACGTAAATGAACTGAGACACCGAATTATTGAAGCCGAACAATAAATAAATAATGCAGGAAATGCAAGAAGGATAAAACGATATTTTTTGAAAATATGCTGCAATTTTAACACATTCTTTGAATTTTATTTGTGATTAGTTTAGTTATATCTGTTACTTTCATTTAACATTTGAATTTAAAATTATTAAAATAATTTCACAATGAGCTCGTTTTGCAGTAAAACATCAATATGTTTTTTTTTTAAGTAAAACATGGCAAATTAGCAATTTTGAAAAATATCTTCTGTTAATGTGGTATATTTTACAATATTCTGTAATTAGTCGAAGTACAAAACTACTATTAGTTTAATTTTAAATTCTAATCAATAGTAGGCCTATTCAGGGTTAGGCAACATAAAATAAAATCTAAGAATATGGGATTTTGTAGCTGTGGCACACGAAAAACTGCCAATATAATAAAAACTAACGATTTTTACTAAGGTCATGTTTGATATTTTGATTAGTCATGAGCTGATCTATTGGTCCTTCAAAGGATATCGTTGACTTTTGAGACACCCTGTATACACAAACAAGTTTCTACCAAAAATGGTACTTTTTCTCGCGAGACCCGCGGATTTATGGTTTTGTGGCTTAACGCCATTGATGTTTACTAGGACGATATTGGGATTCCCAGTTTGGACACGAAATTTTATTCCTATTACATTAACTTTTTTGAAAGACATAAAGAAAAAATAATTTAATTGGGAAAATAGTGAGGTTAATTTCTTTTGACAGATGTTAAGTAGTATTCGACAGGTGACTATGGTTTGCAATTGATTAGTTGTTTGTTATTGTTCTTAATATGTGCAACTAGTAAAGAATGGTCGATTCTAAACTCGTACTATTGTTTTATGTCAAAAAAATCCCAAACCTTTATAGTTGTAATAATTATATGCGTTAAGCTGCACGTTTATGTAAACTGTAGTTCATATTTTTTTTTTCAGTTGTCAAATTTGACATATATTTTGTTATCAATAAACTGTGTTTGAAATTATTTAACCCCTCTCTAAAAATGAATTAGTCAAAAATGACTAATTTAATAGTTATTTAAATTTTTTTTAATTTTATAATTGCCCGCAACCCACAAATACCTTGAATAGCACTCTCCTTACCTTCGCGGTGCATGTGATCACACCTTGGGTTAATTTGACCCCGTCAATAGCAGTTACGGCTCTCAAAAAATGAATTAGTCAAAAATGACTGATTTAATAGTTATTAGTGCTTTTTCACTTGTACCATGGTTAACTATGGAATACCATGGTCAATTCTTATGTAAAATTGTCCCCTGAATCCCAAAATGTCGTCAAAAGTTAAAAAAGTATAACAGTTTTTGAGATATAGGCAATTTTTCATTTAATATGGAATTGACTATATCTCAAAAACTGTTATACTTTTTTAACTTTTGACCACATTTTGGGATTCAGGGGACAATTTTACAGAATTGACTGTTCAATTTTGGTATACCATGGTATTCCATGGTTAACCATGGTACAAGTAAAAAGCACTAATAACTATTAAATCAGTCATTTTTGACTAATTCATTTTTTGAGAGCCGTAACTGCTATTGACGGGGTCAAATTAACCCAAGGTTACACATGCACCGCGAAGGTAAGGAGAGTGCTATTCAAGGTATTTGTGGGTTGCGGGCAATTATAAAATTAAAAAAAAATTGAAAATTTTGCAAATTGCTTTAATATATACAGGATGTAACTAAAATGTTGGGTTAAACTTCACGAATGTAATGTATGAAACAAAACTGTAAAAAAGATATTTTTTTAAATTCAAAATTGACTTATTTCGGTAGCAGTTGCGTAAAAACTAATTATAGGTAGCAGTTACCTACAGGTTAGAGCAAATTAAAGTATCACAAATGAATTTTTTAACACAATTCTGTTGTTAATATATTTTTTGTGTAATTTAATTTCCTCTAATTATTTTTAAACAAAATTTATTGATAACAAAAAAATATGTGAAATCTTTCTTCTAACAACTGAAATCAAACATATAACATACCATATATATAATTTTAATATTTTTTACAGCACTTGCTGCAAGTATGATTTATGAAAATAAATATTAAATAACAAAAAATATTAAAACATGATATAAAAATGCTAAAAGTAAAAATTTATTTTGTGAGAAAGGAAGGCGGAGTGTCCCATCAATTCGAATAAAATGAATTTTAGCACATATATCATACGCTATTTTTTCTACGAACGCCATTAAAAGTACAAATCAACGCATTTCGTTATTAAATTTATAAAATACCATTTTGAAACCCAATTGTCTATAAGTGTGAGAAAATGCTTTTTGCATATTTTAAAGAAAAGTCAAAAATATTTATATTTCGCGTTGAAGGCGATGATGAATATAAATAATCACTAGAAAAATTTGCTTTTTTGATGCGAAAGGGCGAAGGATGGAGACCGAAAAAGTCATAGCCACCAAACCACTGATCTGATTACACCTTACAATTTTTATCACACTTCCCTTTATTACAACTAAAAAGATTTAGGATTAATTTGACATCAAGTATAATTTTAATCTTCATATTTGTGATATAGTGAGCGGCTTCCGCAAGCTCTTACATACACTGTTTAAAATATCTACGGTGTAAAGAGTAATCCTAAAATGGTGTCAAAATCCAACACCAAGTGGTGTTAATATAACACCATGAATTAGGGTTGAAAATGAACACCAAAACGGTGTTTATCTAAAAATATTTGAGAAGTGCACCTACCCAGAAAAAAAGGAATAGTTCATTTAACCCAGTTGACCCATAAGTATTTATATTTTTGTGGATCACGTGATGTTCTTAAATCTCGCCTCTGTTGACTTACATGAAGAATATATAAACTAGTCCTTTGCTTTGGTGTGACACTACAAGTTGTTCGATACTAAAGAGACCTTAAATAGGTGGAAAGAGCTGTCAATACTTGAAGTATTTTAAGTTAGTGGCACGCACTAAAAACATTATCTCTAGCGAGTTGAAGGTTTCATTTTCTGGAATAATACCACTGGTAATATACTAGTAATGCGTCAAGGAACTTCCTGTTCCTTTTTTTTCCTTTTTTCTGTGTGGTATGATAATTTGACCACAAACACATAATATTTAACAATGAAAAGGAGTTCAATTTACACCAGGTAAAATTTATTTTAATACTGTGTGAAAGTTAAATTAACACCATTTTAGTATTTGAATTTACACCGCCAACGAACCTTATTTAACACCATTTTAGTATTTGAATTGACACCGGACCAACGAACCTTATTTAACACCATTTTGGTTTGTATCGATATAGACCACGTATGGTGTTAATTTGGTGTTAAATTGGTCATGAAATTTTGAACAGTGTATACGTCTAAAATGAAAGCCTAATACCAAAGCCGCTCTAAAAATTATCCGGCTATAAAAGTGCTAAGTGCCATTCTTACCTGGCTGGAAATAACACTCAGCCGCACACATGACCCCCAAATGCTTGTTTTATTACCAAACGCCCCGCGTCGTACCTAGGTTTGGGTCGGCGTCCCCTGAAAACCAAAATAAAGTCTATCCCCCCAGTTCCCAGCTCCTCTCTGACCCTCTGGGCGTATAGTCCGGCCCGGCGAAATTCCAAGAGAGGCAATGCAAATGGGGCCAGCTATATGCTCCTTATTTTCATGTTTATGCATAATTGTGATGTAACAGTGCTTTTTTCAGATCATTCGTAGTTTTAAATATGGCGAATGCACCGGGATTAAAATATATATTTAATTACTTTTGCTTTTCTGATGTTAAAGGAACTACCTGTTTCTTTAAAAATTATAGTATAATTAAGTCTCTGTTCAAGAGTATAACTACCTGTCGTTAAAAAATTAGATAAATACACAATATTATTCGTATTTATTTATTTTAAATAAATCTTACATTTACAATTATTGTTATCTTAAAAACAAAACATATAGGTAAATATGTTTTAATAATCAAAACTTTTTAAAATTAGGGCTCAATATTTAAAAAGTTTTAAAATGCCTATAAGATAGGATAAGATAAGGAATACATTAAGGTTACGAAAATACATTTAGCTTAAAAGATAGTTAGTAGATATTGATTTAAATATGTATATGTTTTTACCCAGTTATACATACCCTGTAAGACATACATTTATGAATAAAGAGGAAGGGAATTTAATTATTATTTATATAATATTAATGAATAATATTTTTGTTTAAAAAACACCACAACATAATAAAATATATTGTCTAAAGTTTAATAACATGTATAACAAAAAATCATCAATATTTTACAGCGCAGTTTCATCGTTAGTATTCTTTGTTGGTCCATTTACGATAGAATATCTGGACGATCCGTTCCTTGGATCGGACAATTCGGCTATAAAAAGCTCCTTGAACGTCTGCCTAAACTGCCTGGACATGCCGCAGTAAATACCGAAATTAATCGGGTAGCTGACGCTTATACAAAAGTTTGAAAACAACATCAAATTGTCGACGATGCTGTAGTCCAAGAACTCAACGATGGTGCTTGATATGACGTGTAATAAAGTGAGTATAACTAAAGGTATTTCGACAAACAAAAACACACTGACAACAACAATTAACATTAACGTTGTCAAATTTGAATCAAGTTGGCGTCTTGGCTCGTTTTTAAAACTCGTTATCGATTGTTTAAAAAGTTTATCACGCCTACTTTCGGCTTGTCTCAGTGCTTTAAACAACAACAAATTTAATATAATTAGGACTGTACAGGGGATAATATAAACAAATACTATTCTAAATACAAAATAGGACATATGGTAGAAAGTCGCCGTATTTTTCACCCAATCTGGTGTTCGCTTTAAACATACGTTGACCGTTTGATTCTCCCACACCATTTTAAACTGAAACAAAAAATTTGAATAAGAATTTGTTTATTATTATCCCCAAAATAATTTAATTTTAAATTAACATAATAATGAATAAGCACATTTTTAGGTGTTTATATGATATATTTATTATGATATTTACGTACTACTTTTAAATATTGGTACACTGAGAGAACGAAATATTTGTTAATAACGAGGCACGTTAACTATTAACATATCGTTGAGTTGGATATGGCGAAAGAAATATTAATTTGGGTCTAAGAACTGGTTAAGTTGAATTAAAGAAGCTCATAACGTATTAGCAAATGTAGATATATTAACTGTTAATATATCGAAATTTCATTTTGTAAAAAACTACGGCAACGTCACATGCTTGCGCATATTGCATTTAAAATTATGTTGACAAATGTTAAAACGTTTTATTCGAATTTAGGTATATTAACTGTTAATATATCACAGTTCTAAGACAACTTTATGCTTTATTTGTCTGAAACACAGTCACCGGACGATGTTTTAATAATTAGTATATAATTTGTTCATGATTAAGAAATTTTTTAATAGTTAACAAATATTTTAAAAAAATCGCAACTGTTTTGATTTCTTAATATTAAATATTTCGTTTTCTCAGTGTATTATTCAAATGTATTACATTCAATACAATAAATTATAACAGCTCTATTGTAATTTAAAATTTGGAAATAAATGTAAAACAAATTTAATTTTTACTAGAGCATTATTAAAATGTACATCATTTTCATGATCAATGTAAATTTAATGTTATAATATTAATTATAATAATAATATCCAATCGTTTTTAGATATATTTTTCGCTATCTAAAAATAATTAAAAAATGTGTAATTATTAATTTATAATTTAATTTAAAAATGCAATAAAATAATTTTAATAAGCTGTGACTTTATGGCGTTTAAGTCACGCGCTGAAGTTAGCAACAGTAGCTTTGGGCATTTTAGTCACGGGCTGAAGTTGGCTTTATTATAAATTGGGATAAAGCGAGGTTAAACCCGTTGACAGTTGACAGATGTCAAATTTTTAACAGATAAAATTAGTTTTTGGAGACGTAAAAAAACAGTGCACAACTGTCAAGTCAAACGCGTTACCATAGAAACCAACTAACAACAAATGGCAATGTTGACGCGTTTAATTCCTATTTTTTTACCTTTTTTATTCACGTTTTTACAATATATATGTATATATATGGGGTATTCCATACCAAATCGACCACTTTTGAACCCGACCCCTTTAGATTTTGCTGAAACTTTTCCATCCTTTTCTACCCTTTGAAAAACATTTTTGAAAATTTTTTCAAATTTTTTTGTCCAACCTCAAAAAAGTTATGAATTTTTAAAAAAAAATGGCTTTTTTATTTTCAAATAGCCATAACTTTTTTAGAAATTGACTTTTGGGTACCTTTTTTTTAATTTTTGTTTTTGAATGAACTTTTCAAAAAAATACACGAAAAAATACACGAAAAAAATTTAACATGATCAATTATATAAAATAATCGTTTTTTTTTAGTAAAATCGTCATTTTTTCAAAGTTCGCCATTTTTTTTTTGTTTTTTTTTTCTCAAAAAAAAACTTCAATTAATTTGACAACTATCCCCGCTAATCCCGGAGTGGGCCGATTTTTTTTTGTATTTTTTTTATTTATTTAAAAAAAATTGTCAAAGAAAATTCGACATTTTTTTTAATTAAATAAATAAAAAAAAATTAAAAAAAAATCGGCCCACTCCGGGATTAGCGGGGATAGTTGTCAAATTAATTGAAGTTTTTTTTGAGAAAAAAAAAACAAAAAGAAAAAATGGCGAACTTCGAAAAAATGACGATTTTACTAAAAAAAACGATTATTTTATATAATTGATCATGTTAAATTTTTTTCGTGTATTTTTTCGTGTATTTTTTCGTGTATTTTTTTGAAAAGTTCATTCAAAAACAAAAATTAAAAAAAAAGGTACCCAAAAGTCAATTTCTAAAAAAGTTATGGCTATTTGAAAATAAAAAAGCCATTTTTTTTTTAAATTCATAACTTTTTTGAGGTTGGACAAAAAAATTTGAAAAAATTTTCAAAAATGTTTTTCAAAGGGTAGAAAAGGATGGAAAAGTTTCAGCAAAATCTAAAGGGGTCGGGTTCAAAAGTGGTCGATTTGGTATGGAATACCCCATATGCAATCCTACATTTCCAACCCCGAATCGTTAAATTCTACAGTACAACCAAAGACCACTTTTACAAAGCCCAAAATCGGGCTTCCTAAAATTATAAATTTCTTTTAGAGTTAGGGGTTCCCCCTTTGTTTCAATGCCGAAAAAGTGGTGGGCTTTGTAATGTCAAGGTTATATACAGTTTTGTAAGAAGCCCGTACATCTGGCAACAATGGAAAGCAGAGCCATGCAGGGATAGGGTTACCACATCGTCAGGACTGCTCGACTGAAGAATTATTGGCGGGGGAAATGAAGCGGGATTTTTAAATTTTTATAATATCCACTCTTTCAAAATAAATGTAGACATGACGTAGATAAATAGCAAATATTTTGGTTAATACCATTATAATACATTTAATTTTTAAAGGAACATTTATTCTAGAAATGTTATTTGGAGTCTGCATTTTTCTTTGAGGCAGTTTTCCAAGTTGTCCAGAACTAAAACTTACATTTTAAATACCTAAGTGAAAAACTAAATTCGACTTTGCTTTGCTTATAAAATTGATTATTATTTATTTAATTATGATCATCTGACGGATGAATTAATCCAGGCCACCAGGTTTTCCTAAGTAAAATCTAGTTAATTTTGTTTTTGACTGTTCTGGTTTTAACTAATTAATTATCAGTTGTTATCGGTTACAATGTAAACTCAACTATAAATTTCGTTTTTTGGACCATCCCCTTTTTTTCAGTCAAAAACAAAAATTACTTAAAACTTATTTTGAAAAATCTGGTGGCCCAGAAAAATTTGCCGATCGCCAAGAGAATCTCCCTCAGCACAGTTTACCGCGGTGGTCTGAAAACCTACTTTTCAGGTCAAGATTAATTTGTAAACTTAAAGCATGTTTGTTTTAATTTGTTAAGGAATAAATAGTCTTTGCAATGCTATAAACAAATAGTTTTTTGTTTTACAAGTGTTGAAAAGCGACTTTTTCATGCGAGTTTTTAAGTTGCCCACGATGCCGTTAGGCCGAGTGTGCATTAACACGAACTTGAAGAAAGCTTTTCTCACAAGTATAACACAATGTTTTTTCTGCGATCCTTTTATTTTTTATTATTTTTAAATACAAAACAAAATAACCTAAAAACTTTTTTGACAGCTAAATCTCAAACGATGCTTTCCGGTTCTTTTCACACAGACCTGTCACTTTTCACACAGAAATGTCACTTTACATTCGTGTTTTGCCTTGCCAATGAAAAGATTCATTTTGTAAGCAACGATTCCATCATGAAAAGTGACTTTTACATAGTGGTCGTAGAAAAAATTAGTTTTGTATGTATACTATAGGCGATAAATATGTCATATCGCGGGAATATCGCGATATCCTTATATCCTAGACCATGCAGGATATATTTTTTATTAAACAAAACTTATTATTTAGTTTTTATAATGTTTTTAAGTAGCCCAGGCGGGATTGAGCAAAACTCTAATAATTATTAATTATAATTACTCTAAATCTCGATTCCTACCATTTCCTTTAGAAGTTTCACTTTAAAAGTGTGCTTATTAATGTGGGGCAAACCCATTATTCTTGATTTTTTATTACATTATTTTGATGACCAAAATTTATTTAACTACAAAAATTCCGGAGCGCACCGGCGCATTCGCCATTTCTTTAAATGCCTTTCTCGTTAAAATTTAGCAAATTTTAATTTAAGATGTTGTTAATCCTATTATTATTATTAAACATAACTATAAATCAAAACAGCGCGAGCAATTCATCTTCCAGTTTAAATGAAATTATATTTAATTATGATTCCAAACTCCAGAGCTACCGCAGAACCTCGCACATTAATCTGAACGTCTGGTTAATTTAACTAACATGTATTATCGGTATGCCTTAAATTTTATACCGCATTAAATATAAAGCATATTCCACATTAATTAGACTACATACTCCATATTATCTATGTAAATTGCCAAACTCCTTTTAACTACCTTTATTAATATCTATAACAAAACTTGATAATTATAAGGTTTGTCTTAAGCTGAATTTAATTTAAGTAAAACTAACTACAAGGCAATCTAAAATTAATTAATACAAAAGTTTTTTATACAAGTATTTTAATAATTAATTAACAAAGAACCTAAACAAATATAAAGAGGTAATTACATGCAAAAAAGAAACAAATATAAAAAGCTTTTGTTAACGTTTCCGGAAGTTTTTCCGAGATTGAGACCTCTGTGAACGTTTCCCAAACATAATTAAAAAAATATTTGTATAGCAAAGGTAATTTTAAATTTAACGTTAATTAATTATTTATCCATTCTCATTAAAGCATCTAATAAAAATGCACAAACACTTATAATAATTTCTTTATAATTTTGAAGCAAATTTTATTTTTAGGAAATTTGATCTCTCTTATTACAACATATATTTGATTTCTCATATTAGAACATATTATGTTCCAGCAAGTTTTTGAAACATATAAAATAAAACTCAATATTCCATTCCATTTTACAACTCAAATTCTTTATACCTAGGATTTGTTTAAAGTAATCTCCTTCCCAAGCGGTTACGTGGTCACGGTAGAAATACGGTGACAACTATATATGTAGGTCTTGAGCGATAAAAAACTTGGCTGCTTCTTTCATTGTGACACTTTAGAAATAGGGTTATTACACCATAATTTCATGGTCGAAACATCTTCACCTTATGCTGAAACCGCACAGGGTGTCCAAATTTATATTACCATATTACCCTTGCTAACTTCGTTATTATTGGAGCTACATATTCGCTTAAATTAGAAAATTGGTGGTACATTTTCTCCTGATTAGGTTGTATATTTTTACA